AAACCTACACACAAATCCAAATAGACCTGAGGGCTTAAGCACACCCCAGCCTAATTCGACACCGACCCAAATCCTATATAAATTGCACATGCAGAACGCATTTCGGCAGAACCCACTGCATCGAGGTCGCATGGCTGTGCTTTAGCTGTAGCCTGGCGCGAATTACACACCATGTGTTCTATAATGTACACTGCACTTACAACGTGAGACGCTGCTGAGACATTCTCTTGCAGGCAGCAAACATTCACGCACACGGTGTATACCCCCTGCCACAATGCGACCGGCTTTAGCGGTCAAAGTGACAACCCAACTTGCAAGGCCAAGCTTGTGTCATCGCCATTTCATAAATCGGATCAGACCTTCCCCATGTAAACCATCTAGTCGGTCTCGCGGTAAGCCTCAGTGTTTGCAAACTGATCAGAAGAGGAAGCGGAGTGAGTGAGAGAGCGAGAGAGAGAGAGAGAGAGAGAGAGAGAGAGAGAGAGTTTTGTAATTTAAGGTGTCCGGGGGCGGACACCTTAAAGTAAGGTGTCCGGGCCCGTTTTCCTAGGCCCCAAGAACCGGCTGATGCTCATGATGCTCGCTCTGATCGTCGGGTGGGGCGGGGTGGGTGTGGGATTTAAGCACCTTGTCATGTAATTTAAGGTGTCCGGGGGCGGACACCTTAAAGTAAGGAGGTTCCCCGGTGACCCCACTTTCTTCCCCGGTGTCCGGGGAGATTGAGAGAGAGAGAGAGAGAGAGAGAGAGAGAGAGAGAGAGAGAGAGAGAGAGAGAGAGAGAGAGAGAGAGAGAGAGAGAGAGAGAGAGAGAGAGAAGAATATAGGTGCTTCCGCATCACTAGGAAGCACCCCTTTTTTCAACGATCATCGTTATGTTGTTATAAGAGGAGAGGCAGAGAGGCAGAGAGATAGAGAGAGAGAGAGAGAGAGATCGAGCGAGAGATCGTGCGTGTGTGTGTGTGTGTGTGCGTGTGTAATACATATCTTGAAAACCCGAAATGCACAGGACACCACGTAGTAGCTAAAACATGGCAGGGAACCTTCTTGGCAGCCTCCTTGGCCTGCTCATCACTGGCTCCGTTTGCTTTGGCCTCCGCTCGTGCCTTGTGATACGCACAACTCTTCCGGGACAATCTAGCCTTTGTCTCGGCACCCTTGTCCTTCTCATCCGCATCGCAATCACCAGCCTTGGTCTTGCTCGGCTTCTTGTCGCAATCACCACCCTTGGTCTTGCTCGGCTTCTTGTCGCAATCACCAGCCTTGGTCTTGCTCGGCTTCTTGTCGCCATCACCGCCCTTGGTCTTGCTCGGCTTCTTGTTGCAATCACCACCCTTGGTCTTGCTCGGATTCTTGTCGCAACCACCAGCCTTGTCCGGCTTCTTGTCGCGATCACCATCCTTGCCAAGCTTCTTCACGGACTTGCTTTTTGGCTGTCGGCTGCCGCCGGCCTTCTGGATTGCCCTTCTCTTCGATGCTGGGCTTGGATCGCCCCCCACACAGCGAAAACCAGCTTCAAAGGAGTCTGCCTCGGCGGAGCCTTCCTCGCTTGCAACCTTGGCGCGCTTGACCTTCTTGGCTGCAGAAGACTTCCCGTCCTCGGCGCATCGTCGCTTGATCTGCTTGTTGGAGCCATCGTCCTCTCCACTGGTGGCCCCGTCATCATCCTCGTCAGCCACAGCCTTCTTCGAGGCAGACTTGGCTTTGGCCTTCGGCTTCTTTTTGGCTGCGGCCTTTCGCTTGGGCAAGGCCTTGCTTTTCGCAGTTGCACTCGCACCTTTGGTCTCCGGGACCTCGGTAGCCATCTCATCCTCGGAATCATGCTCTGAATGCTCCTCCTCGTCACTCCTATCGCATGCCACAGGCTCAGGTTTGCCACGACCTCCTCGGCCACGTCCACGGCCCCCACGCCCACGGCCTCGGCTTCTACCGCGACCGTTCGGATCCTTGTCCGGCTTCACAAGCTTTGACTGCTCAGCCGGGGAAATTGCCCGGAGCTTCTGCAAGCAGGCAGGGGCCGCCAGTGCACTCGGTGCTTCGGCACCATCAGCGGCAGCATCGTCCATTGCCATAGCTGTTGGATCGGAGGGCTCGGATTCAGGAGCACTCAGTTCTGCTGCGACACCATCCGCAACAGGATTGGAGGACTCAGCCTCAGGTGCTGCATCATCATTTGATGCCACATCGTCCATAGCTGTTGGATCGGAGGCCTCGGATTCAGGAGCACTCGGCTTTGCTGCGACACCATCCATATCAACATCGTCCACCGTCGCTGTTGGATTGGAGTCCTCGGGCTCAGGAGCTTCGGCAGCTGTAGCTGGAGCTGGAACCATGGCTTCACAAGCCCCTGGATCAATTTGCACCGCTCGCTGCAGCTTGGGCTTTTCCTCGCACTCTTCATCATCGTACGGGTGCAAGCCGAGCTCTTTCCAGCTGTCAGCTTCTAGCCTGGAAGCATCCTCCAGCAGGGGCTCAACCGGAGGAGCCCACCCCGCATGGGAGGGATCATCCCAAACCATTGGAAGCGTCTCCAGCTCATCGGGACCTGGGATGGATCAGTCTGCATATATACACACACCCCGTGTTCCATGTCATGCTTGCATGCCATGTATGTATATTCTCGCGAATGTAGCTGAGTAGCTGGGTGCTGTCTTGGAGATTGGCAGGGGTTCGGGCTTATCCTCCAGCTCCAATCTAGAGAGTAACTTGCCCAATTCAAGTTCCTCGGCATATAGCTGCTCCATGATTTGCAACTGCTCTAACACAGCCTCTTGCTGCGCCAGCTCGGCTGCAATCGTCTCACACACCGAGGCATCATTGAAGTTGGGCACCGGCGGAATCGTGCGATGTCCTCGGATAGGTTTGGGGTTATTTCGGTGTTTCTTTGCAGGCTGCACAGGAAATTGCATACAAGCTTCTGTTGCTGGAAGTAGGCTCAGAGGCAGACACAGGGGACAATTTCTCGGTCGGTGTGATGCTTGCACTTCGCTCGGAAATCACCCAGGGATTATCGGAAGAACTCAGGCTGGCAGAGGATAATCGTAGCGCTTCATCACAACCCTTTGATCCCTGTTCGTTGTCCTCCAAGGCATCCACCGGATGGGAACCTGGATGAGGCTTGTTCTCATGCCCTCAATGGGGGTTGAGGGGTTTAGGTTTAGGTATTCTGCGGTATCGAGGTTCTCGGAATAAAGCCCAGGAGCTTTTGGCATCCCCAATCGGCATTGCCTCGTCCTGACTACACTGCAGATCAGAAACTATAGTACTTGGACGCGTCACTTCGATTCCCGTTCATCCTTAAGGCCCGGGGTGACTAAGCTAATATTTCACCTAGGAAGGCCTGGGAGGATTAAGCCTAAGTTTGGGTGCTACACTTCAAGGATTTAGGCCGGTTTGGGGTTTATCGATTTTGCTCAATACATTGGGTCCTCGCTGAAGTCAGACTCCGACTCGGCTTCCTCACTCTCGCTGCTAGAGCCATCATCCTCGCCCTTCTCACAAGAGGAATCATCATCATCTGCAGTTCCTCGGGTATGTTGACTATGCCATACATATCATGTCATACATGCTAGAAGAACGGAGCAACAGGAACATATATGCATGAGGGACACTCTCAGGCAGCGGGATACCCGCAGCTTCATATATCTTCTTCATCGCTAGTTCTCTCGGCACATGCCCACGGCGTGCCGCACGCCCGAAAATGCTTATCAACCTCTTGAGGATCCACGCCTGCAAGCGTACCTGATCACCTCAGCAATTGCCGTGCTATGCAGGCCTACGGCAGCTACACGACATTCACGATGATGCATTGGCACATGGCTGCTTGGCTGTATATGCGGGAGAGCTGCTCTTCACTGCTGGTTTTGACCGTGGTCTTGACATCTGGAAGAAGGCATGGACATCTTGTGCGATCGCATCCACGGAGGGACGCATGCCGTGGAATCGCAGAATCGGGATTATGCACTGAGCATTGTTAATGCAATCACCTCTGCTGAGTGATTCTCCAGCAAGCAACGTGAGGCACCCAGCCGCCCCCCGATTCGAGAGCACGGCATTGGGAAGCCAATACTGCACTACAGGAGAGCCCATTGTGTTGCTGGCAAAATGCCAAGCAACAAACCTACGAGACCTGCAGAGCCCAGCAGAGCCACAAGCATGTATCATCAGAAATATGCGACTTGCCCGACGTGTTTATCAAGCCAATCCAGCACGATCCCTTGACCCCAAAGGAGCTGGCCTCAAGGACTCGAGGTTCGTAGTCCGATCATGTACCTCTTGAAGCAGCTGAGGCTACTCTTCGCTGGTGGATGGTGGCATCTACATACATATGCACAGACCAGCGGGAGGGGGGCGCACGTGGAAGCAATCGGAAGGCTTTCCAGAAAGAAAGGGGCTCGTGGCCCCGAGAGCACACAATACTGCTAAGATCATAGCCAGCACTGCGGTTGCAAGGTGTTTGCTTTCAGCATCGCCCTCAAACTCCCGAAAACGCTCGTTCATTCGGGAAACGCACGTGTAGCAAGATTTGCGCTACGAACTTCTGATTTAAGGTACCTTTATCTATTTATGCTACGAACCAGGCTGCGCCATAAATTAATGCTACGTTGGAGGGTGCAGGTAAAGTTAACGGTTTAGGATGCTTGGGGGAAAACAAGGCTTTAGATGCATCCTGCACCGGTTGCTTGCTGTTCTCATCTTCTCCTCTGCATGTCTGTCGACGTAAGACCCTTATGATTGACTTAAAAATCCTGTGGCTAAGACTATGGAACGGGCTTCAGGAGTGGTAGAGTGATCTAGCAGACCTACCAGCGCAGAAACCGTAGTGAGAGCTTTCGACATAGAGACTTGGGCCCAAGGGTATGCACCCGAGGCTCTGATGGATGAAAGAAGGATCTTCACCTGAGGTTCTTGGCGCAGCCTTGAAACCCAAAGCCCTCATACCTCGAAGCGCGTCGAAACTCTCCTTTTCGAACCCACTGGAGCCCTGAAGCGTTGGTGGAAAGGAGATGAAGGACTTGGCAGAGGAAGAGGCAAAGAACCTTGGCGGGTGGTTCGAGGATCAACGCAAAGTGTACCAGGACACCTGGATTTTAGAAGGGCGTGTGTAGGAGTTTACAGGTTTCTACGATGTTCAGGTACTATAACACTTCTAACACCCTCGATTGTAATTCTCAAGTCTAAACCCGCCACCCAGTTCCTAACCAGTAGATGCTAAGCCGCGATGCCCAGAAACGGTACTTGCAAGCTTACTAGGGTCGGAGGGGCCTTCCGTGATTTCTAAATTACGTTCGGGGGTGTAGGGTTAGCACACAATCCAGATTGGAAACGGCCTTTGTGTTTGGTTTCGTGGGTGTCTCCGCAGGACGAAGATGCTGGGGCACGGATGCAGAAGCTCGAGCAGAAACTCGGCGGGTCTTCGGAGGTTCTTCCGCAATTATCAGCATCTGAGCCCGCTGAATTGCAGGTGTGTGGCTTTGATGTGGTGCTAGCAGCTGCTAGCAGTCGTAGCGCATCCAAGGATTGCATCTCAAGATGGCGAAGCGGTACAGCCTCCGTTAAAAGACCATTATTGCGAGAAGGAAGAGGCTGAAACGAAGGAGCCGCATGGTGAACTCTCGATCCGTCTCAAGACAGCCCAAGAAGCTTTGACCTGGTCGCAAGCCAAGAGTCGATGTTATGACGATCGATCCCCTGTTTTTATCCTACGGCCTTTTCGTGTTGGAAAAAGTGGCGTTCGTCAAATCATACGTCAGATCCAACCCCTGGAAAGCACTAGACCCTCGAAGCTAAACCCGCCAATCATGAAGCCATGATCTTGCGATTCTTGGAGGAGGCCGTTGAGGTCAAAAAGTCGGCAGTGGATGCTTTATGGACTTATGCGAGCTGGCTGCGGCGGGATTTCAAAGGGCTACTTGGTCCTAGTAATAGCTTGGCTTGGGGCCCAAAAGCTTCAGAGATGGGGAGGGGGGTGTTTACGTGGTTCATAGATGATTATGATTAGCGCTGAGGTTCAGCGGGTTTAGGCCTGTAGAGTTCATGGTTACTTTTGGAGAGATCTGGGATGTAGATGAAGCAGATTATGATGATAGTCAGGATGCGATATAGATCCTGCTGCCTGTGTGGCAGTGACGAGGATGACGATGTTCATGCTGGTGTAGGCAGTCATGATGATGGCGATGATGCGGAAGAAGATGATAATGATGTTGATGATGACGGTGATCAGGCTTAAACTTATGATGCTGTGGTTGTGGAGATGGCGATCGTGCCGATGATGGCGGAGAACATGGCAATGTCGATGCTGACGATGTCATTGTAGATAACAGACTCGCAGAAGATAACTATGCAGTTGTGGTTCAGTCGCTGCAACATTATATACTTGTGATCGGAGCGGTTGTTTTGATGGTTATGATATTCGTCATCGGCATGGTGAACTTCCCTCTCAAGTGACTCAAGTGTTCTGCTCTTGGCCTCTCAGGCCTCCGTAGGATGCGGGCGCAAAGGCTTTTTAAAAAACATGTTTTTCAAAAAAACTTAAAAGCCTATGCTTTTAGAAAAACCTATTCAAGACTGCTACCCGCAGGACTCAGCAAGTCTAAACCTCAAACTCCACAGCTTGTTTGCTTCATCCCTTCAAATGCCCGGATACAGTTGAAACCGTAGAAGCGCGCCCCTAAACTATGCGAGGCAGCTCGGCCAATTGCTTGCAGACCTGAACAAGTTCAGCGCCAAGGATGTTCGAGAGTTCGACGAGAAGCTACAGCTGGACGAGGGTTCGAACTGACATGGGAGTAGGGGATAGAATTTCATGGTCTAGGCTTCAATGTTGGGAGGAAAGGGTGCGGGAATCCGGGATTAGCTTCCGGTTGCAAGGGCTTCCGGGTAATGACATGAGGCTTAGCGGCATTCGATGTCTTGCCATGGCAGATTGCGGGGAGGATCCGTCGATGCACCGGTTGCAGCACGAAGATGGTGCAGAAGTTGGCCCTCACTTGGGGCTGCTGGTGGCGTCTATCAAGAGCAAGGCAGCCGCGGGTTTTGTCAGTGCTAGATCCTGCTAGGTCTCCGAAAAGCCCGGAAAAGCCGATACATATGCTGGTTGAGCCAAACCGATCAGGAGCGGGCTCTGGCAAAGATCAACACCGACTACCAGGAGGATGTGCGAGATAGTGTTGTGAATGAGCTTGAAGAGGGAGTCGAGCCTGTGAGACAAAATCTGAAGGATTTCAAGGCCGGGAAGAAGAAAGAAGAGCCGCTGGCACGACCCTTTGCAGTCCATATGATTAGCTGAAAATCCGTTGGCAGCTACGATTGCGACTCCTACTCATGCTGCTGACACTGGTCCTGCTCCTGCTACTGCCACTCCACCGCCGCTGCTACTGCCACTGCGACTGCCACTGCTACCGCTGCCCCTGCGACGACGAGGACAACGATTGCTTTTACCAGCGTCTGTGATTGCTACGTATCATAGTATCACGATCAGTACGAGTGAGCGTCCGATGCCATTGTCGACATGAGAACCATTCACCCAGAACCGAAGTCCATCTAGGCTTTCCACGTCCTATCGCAAGAACGGACACGTCGCACGCGCTCTTCTTGTTTGCGGGCGGTCGTTTCTGAATTGCCGGATTCGAGTCAATTTTTGCCATAGATAAAGCAGCACTGGATTTGCACAGCATCACTCTCGCCCAAGGATATGTTTGCGACTTCCTGCGTGCGACCATCTATGCCGCAGACCCATTTGCGCTTGCGCTCGCATTCCACGAATTTAAGGACAGCTTGAAATGTTTCGCTAGGGCTGTGATGGTGAAAGGGTGTATCCCGAACCTGCCCTGAAGAAGCGCTTCAAGATCGTGCGAGTGAAAAACAAGTTTGCGAACGAGAAGCTGAAGACGGAGGCGGGCACTGGGACGCGGGGTGCACTACAGTGTACGTCAGCACGCTGTTGCCCACATCTTGGGAGGAGCGAACCAACATTCTCGTGAACTTCTGGGTGGAGAGCGGAGACATGAAACAGATCGGCGAAGTGCAGTTCCTCATGCAAGAGTACCTCACGGCCATCGGGCTGCATTGGGGGGCGGGGCACGACCCAGGCTCTCCAGGTGCCTGCATAGAGTGCCTTCTTGGCGCCGATGTCTTTCTTCACGGCACCGAGACCTTGCGTATCCGAAAAAACCCACTACTTACCGTCGGAGCCCAGAGACCGGAGTCCAGAGTCCAAAGCGGGCCGCTACGTATGGGAAGAGTCTTCGGGTAGAACTATTGGTCATGCGGGCCTGGGTTCAAGATAACATATACATATAGCGGGCTTCGGAAAATCATGCGGCAGGGTGAATTGGGCAATCCGGCTTTGGTAGTGGACTCGGCTTCGAGGGGTATCAATAAAGGAGCTTTGAACCCGATTATAACAAGCCTTTCACGGAACTCTGCACCCGATTTTGAGCCTTGAACGGAACCCAATTCCGATCAGAAGAGCTTAGAAGGACCCTGAAAGGAGGAACCCCAAATCCCATGATGCACCCTTCGAGGATCCCTGAAGGACCATAGTCGTATCATTCTCCGAGGGATTGGAACGAGTCCCTTTCTGCACCCGTGTGAGAAAAGACTTCCGACGGTAAGGGCAGGTCGTGATCATGAGTCCTCATCTACACCCGACAACCCTCAGTAAGCCCCACAATCCTCAGGAGCTGAACGCTCCGACCTCAGAAAGGCCCAATTCGGATTTAGTGTGCTGCAGGCGTTTAGCCGGTTTAGGGGTTTTGTCTATGGGCCACCAAACCTTCAGCTCATTCCGCACGAAGCAAATCACCAGCTCTACGGCCTGGCAAAGAGGGGCCTGGAGAGCTCTGAAGCCGAAAAAGGGCCGAAACCGCGCCGACGGCACCAAAAGCGCCAAACTCCGAACATTAAACTCCAGAACGAAAGACATGGAGAAAGCACATACCCAGCGAGCAAGCACACGCGCGCACGCCACCAAACTGTGCCCGGACCGAGGTTGAAGTCCATTGCCTAAGGCACCCCCCAAGCCCATGTCAGCGGATCCTGTAGCAGCCGTTCATGATTGTTGAAGACATAGCAGGGTGGTGGAGCCTTTGAGTGACACGTCTTGCCCCAAGATCTAGGGCTCTCAGGGCCCCGGGCCCAGAGTCTTCGAACCAAGCAGGGCACCCCGAGGTTTCAAAGTGCAGCGACTACTAAGGCGTAGTCTCCACCGATAGGTGATGTCCACTCCATCTGCACGCTGACGAAATGTGCGTTTTCATTTTCAAATCCGACTGAACACCATTAGTCCATCCGAGCGGAGCCGGCTTAGAAGTTGAAAGTGGGTGAGGCGAAGTCCATACAGCACATGTACTACGATGTGGCTCGGGCAAAGAGCGAGGACGAACTCTTCGACAAACCGATCTTTGCCTGAGGAGGCCATGAACGCTTCCTTGGAGCTTAGGGTTCAAGCTTAGTAGCTGCGTAGGTAGCCTTTGACACTTTAACCTTAACGTTTTGGGGTTTATATTATCCTACCATCCTTGAAGAGGTTAGCGTTTTCTGGGCTATGGTATTCAGCCCCAATTGCAAAGTAGGGTCCATTTAGGGTTCAGGGTTTAGCATTCCGATTGTGCCAGCTGTCACGGGGAACTGCGGAAGTCAGGCATGGTCTCATGATGCTCAGGTCAAGATTCTGAGGCTTTCGCGGGCTTTTGCCTCTTACGGTACCCGAGGTTCTCCGAGTCGTTTCGCGAAGCCCAACTGTGGCACTCGTTTGCACAGTACAGCATGGCACTGGCGGGAAAACAATCAATGAAGGCTACAGTCATAGCAAGTTCTGTGTTGATTACTTCCCCCTAATATTAACCGGGGCCCCCTCAATAACACCTCGAGAAGTGCTTGTGTTCATGTTGGGGGGGGGGTAACATTGGGGAGGATCTTGCTCTACTCTTGCTCTTGCTGCAGCTCTAGCTCTTGCTCCTGCTCTTGCTTGTGCTCCTGCTCTGCTTTTGCTTCTGCTCTTGCTCGTAAACGCGCCTACTTGCCCTGAATCAAACTAGGCTCCAAAAGGCGGTGACGATTTCAGGTGGTGTTTGATAAATGGTGTAAGTGATTGCACCCCCGTTTACGTCTATGTCCCGGTCGCCGAATCCCACCTTTACCAGCCACGTGAGTTCAAGGTTTGGTTTAGCTTTCCGGGATCCTAGGTTAAGTTCTCCATAGTCCGTACGTAGATATACTCAGAGCTCGGTCGGAACCCTCAATGCTGCCAGCTCGTGCACGTTGGTCTGAGGGCTTTGATGCCTGGCTGCTTCTGAAAGCTGGATGAGGGCCCTTTGCTAGGTATTGCTGCCACCGCAACCGACACCGTTTGCAGTAAAGCCCCCAAGCACTACTCCTCCTCTGCATTGCCACGAGAAACCAAAAAGAGAGGCTGGAGTGTGAGTCACCTTGAACACTGACTTTTGGGATTGACCTCTGCAAGTCTGTATGAAGCTTGAGGAATCGTCATGTGTTGGCCTTTTGGCTCCTTTGGTAGCCGGCTCGGCCATTAGCTCGTCTCTCTGTGTGTCTGAACTATCCTTTCCTCGTGCCTCTTGTCCTGAAGAGGTGCTTCTTACCTTGGGCTAGGGACCAGCAGGGCAGGCATGCGCAGGCAGCTGCATATGCATGTAACATCGACGCATGTCTATGCATGGCAAAATACGTACGTACGTACATTGCACTGATGTATGCATGCATGAAAGTATAATCATGTAGTTTAATGTAACGGGCCGCAACGTAAGGCAATGCAATGTTATACAATGCAATGACATGCAACGTATGTATACATAATATGTGTGTATATATATATATATATATATATATATATATATACATATGTATATGTGTTACCTGCCATGCAGTCGCGAGACTCGCCATGCGGGAGCCAAGATATGTATATACATGTATGTGTTTTTGGTGTTGTGTGTCTTTGTTGTTTTGTTTCGAGTTGTTTGTTAGTTTTTTTGTTAGTGTGCTTGTATGTGTGCTTGTTTGTTTACTTGTTCGTTTGCATGCATGCTTGTATGTATGTTTGTAAGTATGTTTGTACGTATTTATTTACGCTTAAGTTCTTTCTGTATACTAGACTGAGCATGTGCTACACTGCCTGCCACTCTCCGCATGGTTTCCACTCATGCTGTGTCGTCAAAGTCAAAGCCGGAATGCATTTTTAGACTTGTACTGACTGGTACTTAACGTGCACGCCTGCAGCAAAAGGGCTTGCTGAGGTACAGCCAAATCGCATAGCCGCTTGACCCGACCAAGGATCTATGTGCATCCTTCTCCCATCGACGGCAGCCTGTCGACGGCCCTGACTTGTGATTCGAGGCCGGGTGCATTGCTGAAAGATGGCTCGAGTCGCGGCCGAGGGATCTTCATTCATGTGTAACTGTTATGCATACTCTAGCGGCTCTAGCGCGAAGGCCATGAGATTCTGTCTCCTTCTGATTGCCGTCCTGGTGCGAGCCCACCGAGAGTCTCAGCACTTCGCCGTGCAACTCGACGAGGAAATCGAGGAGTCTCCTCCCATGACTCTTGCCGAAAGAGTTCAAGCCCACTTTGGTCGTGCTTGCCCTTGGTTTGGCACTGCTGGTTCCCCTTCACTGCCTGGTCCCCTGTTGATGTTCAGGACTGTTTCGCCGCAGAACTGGTCCAGCGTGCTCGGGTCCATCGGTGTGGAGCCGGTTCGAGTGCATCTCTTAGCGGGGGTGGCTTGGCTCGGTATGAGGTGTGTCTTTCGCGCGCACGGGGCCCCCAACCCTACAAGATAGTAAGTTGAAACCGCAATAGTAGGTACGCTGAGCCAGATATTCGGTTGGACGGTTCCAGCTGGCAGACATCACTTACTTCTGAGGTCTACCCAAATATGTCCTTCACGTTACCAGCCGGTGCCAAGCTGGAGTTGCAGGGTGAGCGGGGCGTGAAGGTCGAGGAGATAGTTGTGCGGGGCAGCGATTCCACGGACAAGCCCGAAAGGTCAAGGTAGGGCATTTTTCAGAAAAGTCGGTGAAAGCTCTGTCGAAATCAGCCAGGGGTCTGGACCCAACACCCTCAAACTTAAGCATCATACGAAGCTCAGATGTGGTCCTCCTGAGACAGTGCCGGAACGGGGGCACGGGCCTGCGTCAAATGTCCACACCACGAGGTTCAAGGCCACCTTACGAGCTAAGTTGCAACATGCCAGGCATAAGGTGGCTGAACGGGCTGAGCTGACACTGAAGAGCTTCCAGCTGGCGAGAGCATCGTTGGAACATGCAGTGTCTTCTCTGGCTTTGATCGATGTGGCTGTGGGAGTACTACAACACCCTGGCAGCGAAGAAGAAGATGAGTCCATGCCCAACTCAAGCCGTTTCGAGTCATACGTGAAATCTAGTGGCTGCATCGCTTGTTTGACAATCCAAAACTCGGTTCTGATTCCGATGTACATCTTTGTCTGTGGTTTCAATGCCACAGTCATTGACTCAACCCTCATGCCCTCGGTCGGCGACCAGCGCAGGCCCAAAAACAAATGGAGGAATTACTTGAGCGTATTTAATGTATTCATTGAGCGATCTCACCTTGGCGGCCCTGAGGGGGCCCTCGACATTGACGAGTCTCATGAGGAAGTTGAAAGCTACGAGGATGGCAGCGCACGGGGCATTACCGTGGTAAATTCGACTCTAGACAATGTCACCGTGCAATTGGAGGGCAACGTGAGCATCAAGAACTCAAGCATGATCGGGAAGTACGAAGTCATTACTTATGGCAAGCACTACCACGGCCGAATCGAGAATTCGTACTTCGGATTGTGCACTGGGCATTGTGTGCACCTTGAGTTGGAAGAATCTGATTTCGTTCTGGTCGGTTCTTCCATGCAGACTGCGATACAAGCCAGCGGGAGTACCGACTTGAACCTTGAGATTCGTCACCTGGAAGTGTTCGATGTCCACTGCCCTTTCTTGGAATACTTTCAATCCGAAATGCCTGGCACTGGTGGCGGCAAAGGCGGCACTTGGTAAGCCATATCACAGCTGTTTTCTGCTTCGTTTCTTTCAAAGCGCAGGTCGTCCGATGCTGAATGTGACGCTCGCCTTCGTCAAATTTCGGAACGTGTGGAGTGCAGCCGGCGACTTAGAGTGGAGCAAACTGTTTGTAAATTCATGTGCAGATTGCTCTTCTCTGTTGTGTCATGTGAGTGCTGTGCGAAGCCAGCTAACGACCGCTGGCATGTGGCCCAATCAAAGGGGCCCCTTGAGTTCACTTTGCTATGCAGAAGATGACAGCGTGGAAAAGCGCCGTGCTGAGCAGCTTATAGGCGTGTGCTTAGCAGACGAGAACCACCTGTAATCACAGGTGGTAGCGGAGCTGCCGGTTGAGTATGCCAGGCGGCGGAGCGATCCAGGGGAGCCAACCGCAGAGCTCTGCACCGAGTCAAGGCACCAGCTGGAGAGACCGGGATCCACCCCCGGCGTTCGATGGGAGAAATCCCGACCGTGCATATCCCAAATGGAAGAAGGAGCTTGACCTTTGGAAGTTTGAGACTGAGGTCCCCAAGGAGAAGTGGGGAGTGAAAGTCTGGCGCCAATTGGATGGCTCAGCGAGAGCCGTCTCGGACGGACTGACGTTCGAAGAATTGGCTTGCGAGAAAGGACTCGAAGGTGCTCATTTGGAAGTGTCGCTGCCGAAGGCCTTTTTGCGTCTATGGAAACCTCCGATCCCACAAAGAATCTTTCAGTGACTATGTCATTCGGATGGAGCATGCAATGAAGGAACTGGAGCGCCAAGGTGTCAAGCTGCACGACATCGCTGTTGGCTACGTGATGTTCAGGCATGCAAACCTTTCGGATGTTCAAGAAAGTCAACTGTTGACTTGGGGTGCAGGCAAGTATGATAGAAAGACAGTGGTGACCAATCTTCGACGACTGATAAGGGTGCTTTTGATGTGAAAAAGAAGTCGGCCCACTACTTGACTGAGGGCGATGACGAGACTGAGGACCCTCCGGGCGAGATGGTCGAGATCTACCACCAGCAGGAGGACATCGTGGACTCTTACCTCGATGAAGAGTACATCTACATTGGAGAAGATGACTTGAAAGAGATATACGAGGAAGAGCATATCATGGAAGCGTTGGCGACGTACCAAGACATCCGCAAGTCCATCGGAGATCAAAGAAATAGCCGAGGCTATTTCCCCACCGGGAAAGGCGGCAAGCGAGATCATGGAAAAGATCGAGGGAAAGGAGTTGGGAAGCAGAAGCATGTTTTGGACATCAAGGGAGCTCCGAGGAATCCTATGAAGTTCAGCGGAAAGGGGACAAAGGTCCATGTGGACCTTTTGAAACTGCGCACAAACTGCGCCAGGTGCGGAGTGGTGGGCCACTGGCATCGCGAATGCCGCAAGGCTCCAAATGAACGTGGCCGACAGTCGAATCATCGCTCAGCGCCTTCGACTACTCAGTCGTCGGTCTCCTCACCTTCCGCTCGATCGGGCTTTTATGTCGAGACGGCTTCTGCTGACCGAATGGACTCCGGCAGCTACTTTGGGGAAAACAGGTCCGACTGCTACATGTCCTACATTCCTACGTTTGGTCGCCTCATGTTCTCAGTGGTGGGAAAGAGTGTTAAAGCATTGCCCGAGAAGCCCCGGGCAGAGAATCCCGATTCTTTTGTTGGTGTAGCCACCACCGCCGGCGAAGGCATCGTCGACACGGCGGCTCAGGACGGCTTGGTCGGCAAGGCGGCGTTGCTACAGCTGACCGGGGCTTTGCGTGGCTTTGGTCTTCAGATAAGGTGGAACACTCAGAAGAAGGCTCAGGCGAGTGGAGTGGGAGGCAAGGCAAAGGTGATAGGCATCGCCGAAATTCCGATTGGCATCGCTGGAGTGAATGGTCTACTAGAAGTGACAGTGGTGCAAGACAACGTGCCCTATTGCTTCCAATAAGACTACTTCGTCAACTCAGGGCAGTGGTGGATTTGGACCGCGACGTGCTCCAGCTCAAGGCCTATGGGGTTGAAACACCGATGCACAGTTTGCCCTCAGGACACATGTCAATCTCTGTGACTTCGTATGCACCAGAGGGTTGGAGTCTGCCTCATGCTGCTGAGTCGCAAAGCTTGAAGCATAACGAATATGTGCTCATGACCACCGGGTTTCTCAACCAGAGCATGTATCCTCTCGAGGGTAGCAGTGTGACGAACCTACTCCTGCACCGGATGCTGGACCAGAGAACGAGGGACGAACCGATGCGTCCCGGAGGCCCCCCAGCTGCAGTGCTACGCAGCAGGAAGGCGATCAAGAGGTGGAGGTGCCCCGGAGACCGGCTGTGTGACCTGATGCACCTGGTGAACCTCAAAACCAGGGAAATGGCTGCCAGATGGGTCTTTGCGGCTCTTGGGCCTGGCAACCTCGCAAGTGCCGGACACCAGGTCACCTACTTCCCTTCCGGCCTCCTCTTCAGCCCCCAGCGAGAAGCATTTTGGTGTGTGCCCGGGTGATCAAGGTGGCGCCGTATCTTGGTCAACGCAAGACCAAGGATACCCCGGCTACTACGATGACGGAGTGCACACACCCGGCGCACGAGAAGAAAGGAGCCGGAAATCAATACTCCAAGGAGATCTGGTGTGGCAAGTGCAAGGCGAGATGGGAGTACCTCAACCCGGAGAAGTTGGCCCAGGCCGAGATGGAGAAGAATCTGGCGGCAAGGAACCCTCCACAAGTGGATGGTGCTGGCATGGCCAGAGGATTCGAGGAGCAGCTGGTGGTGTGCAACTGCAAGAAACCAGCGACGAAGTGGTAAGTCCGGAAGGCGGACCAACCAGGGGCAGGCACTTTTACCGGTGCCGTCAGCGCCTTTGCGACTTCTTCCTGTGGGATCCGATGGAGCAGGAGAGGATCCGGAGTGCTGGGCAGATGCAGGAGCCACTTCAGATGGAAGTGGAGGCGCATCGCGAGAATGCCGGGGAGGTGAGAAACCAGATGGAGACCATGATGAATGCGCAGGCGGTGGCCCACCAACGGGAGCTGGAAGAGCTTCGGACCCAGCTCGCGTGGATGCAGGGGTTCGCGCAACAGTGGCAGATGGCTCAGAATCCGGAGATGGGATCGATGGATGGCTTTCAGATGGTGCAGGATCCCCAATGACGAGGACCGGGTTGCCATCAGAAGTGGGTCCTGAGAACAGCTGCTTGGTTAGCACGGGACCACAGCTTCGCCGGGCGAAGCGAAAGCAGATGCAGGCATTTTGCTTGCGCGCGCCAGCGCCGTGGATGATGCCTTTGTCAAGACATTACTATGTTTGGGATGATTCTAACAACAGTTGGATGTACCGTTGTGGTTGGTTACCTCGTGAATTACATGATCGTAAGTTCTTGGCAGTGTTTGATGACTTGCAGAGTATGACGATGTGGAGTGATCAATGTGAAAAGTTCAAGGCCCTTACCGCTGGCGAAAAGAAGAAGTCAATCAGGCCCTGGACAATGCGACCAAAGCCAGCAACTCCACTGTCGGTTATGAAGTGCTGGAGGCAGTATCACCTGCAACAATTAGTTGTTTCGTTGAGTATGGCAACGCGATGGCCAATTTGGATCCGTGTTGCTCAACCCAATTTTGGACCGAGCTGAGGAACCGAAGCCCCAACCTGCTGATTTTGAGGCCCAGTCGTGATGAGGGGTCGCTGGAGTTAGCAGTTGAAGCGGCTGAGTGGCAGCATGCTCAAGGCAAAGCCTTTGCCGTGATGTGCTCCGAGATCGCTGAGTATGCTGAGGATGAACTTTGGAGTCTGGGAGACAGCATAGTGCACAGAACGCTTCCTTCAGAAGAGCGTGTGTGGAGTAACGATGGTGAGTTTGCCAAGAAGCTGTACGACGCCATGCATGAGGACCGGGTGCTGAACCACGAGGACACCAACGATCTTCAACAGAATTCCAAGGCACACCAGTCAGTGGAGTGTGAAGTTCACTCAGCCTGTGACGCAAGCCAGGAGCAGATGCCAGATGTTTTAGAGAACCAGTTGGTTTTCCACGAGGACACCGACGATCTTCAACAGAATTCCGAGGCACACCAGTCGTTTTTATTTGATGTGTGTCAGGAGCACGGGGGTCCTCTATCAAGAGGTGTGTGTCAGGAGCACGGGGGTCACCAAAAACAGGTCTATATGACCGAAGCTACAGCCATGTGGACCGGAGATGACCGGAGAGAGGGCACGACATCTCCTACAGCAGAGGGACTTCTCTATGACATCGTTGGAGTCTGTATTGAACACACTTCCTCTACTACAACCTGGGGGTCGCAAGACTGAGTGGAAGATACTTTTCTCTGGGCTTGTATGCGCATGGCAATCACTATGGCACTACGAAGCTTGCTGAGAAGCTGCCCAACCTCACTTCCTACATCAACGAGGTCATGAAGTACAAGTGCAAGTGTCAAGGTATGGAACATGCTACGTGGACCTCGATTGCGGTGGGACAGAATGCTGGAAGCTACCTTCACAAAGACAACCACAACTGTCCGAGAACCCCCAACTACATCTGTAGCCTGGGCAGGCACAAAGGCGGAGGACTATGGACGGAAAGTGACGATGTCGAGCAAGACGGCGCCTACAAAGTTGTTTGGAAGCAACTCGAGAATGGCAAGTATGTTCCAGGAAAAGTCAACGACATCCACTACAAGGTGAACAAGTTTGACCCCAGAAAGTGGCATGGATCAGAAGAGTGGTCCGGACAGAGGTTTGTTGTGAGTGCCTTTACGTCACGAGCGATCGACCAGGTTGACCCACAGAAGCTGAAGGAGTTGAAGAAGCTCGGGTTTCCAGTACCTCGACGAAACTTTGTGTACATGTTCGATGGCTCCAAACAATGTATGGACCACCTGAGTTCCGAGGTTTACGTTGAAGAACATGATGGAGAACCCGTTGGAGATGATGTACCTGATGGTGATCCCGATCTCCCAGATCCAGACTCTCTTCCACGGGACCCAAGTTCCGAGCTTGAGCCCTCGCAGGAAGAAAAGAGGCTTCTGAAAAAGCTTCATGAGAATATGGGTCATCCCGCGCCGCGGGAATTGGCGAAATCTTTGAGGATCGCGAGAGCAAAACCCCACTCGATAAGGTACATGGCGAAGAAGTTTGCATGCGATGTGTGCGAGGCAAAGCCCAAACCCAAACCAAGTCGACCAGCAGTCTTGCCGAGGATGTATGAACCAGGAAGAGTTGTGGGTGTGGACGTGATTTTCCTCAGTGGCCTGGACCGCAGACAGAGTTTCCCCGCGTTGAACATCGTGGACTGGGGAACCGGCTACTCCATGGTGGAACAGCTCAAAAACACTGAAGCTACCCACACCTGGAGAACTTTCCAAAGAACATGGGCCAGGACCTTCGGAATCCCAGAGGTCATAGTGGCAGATTTGGGAACAGAGTTCAGAGGACAGTTTGCGGAACTGGCTGGACAATCAGGAGCCTTGATTCGTCACACAGCAGCGAGATCACCCTGACAGGCGGGAAAAACGGAGAGAGCAAGTGCTCACTACAAGCAGGTCTATGACAAAGCCCGGGAGTCCACCTTTGTCAGCTCTTGGGAGGAGATCAAGACCTTGATGTATGAGGTGGAGAGCGCTCGCAACAGGTATGGGAACAGGAGCGGCTTTAGCCCCATGCAGCGACAAATTGGACACAGCTTGCGACTTCCAGGTTCTCTTCTATCAGACGACCACTTGGACCCGCAGCTAATCATCGAGAGCTCGGGAGACGAGATGAGGAGAGTACTCGAGATTAGAAAGGCCGCCCAAGAAGCCTACATTATGTCCCAGACCGAGACAGCGATTACCCGAGCCAAGAACGCCAGGACCCGCATTCCCATCGAGTTCCTGCCTGGTGAGACGGTGTACGTGTACCGGCAGCCAAGGGAGAGGAAACGACGTCATGTGATGACCCCAGAAGCTCACGAAAGCCGGAAACCTTCATGGGTTGGTCCGGGAGTGGGTTTGGCAGTTGAGAAGCCAAGCTTGTGGGTTTCGATGAAGGGCGAGTTGTGGAAAGTCAGCAGAGAGCAGTGCAGACATGCTACCAGTGAAGAACAGGTTGCTGAGGAGATGCTGGCAGATGAAATGGAAGCCCTACGTGGGGAACTGGGAAGGACCTCTATGAAGCGAACTTATCGCGACATGACTGAGGAGGGTTTCCACCCAGTGAAGAGGATGCGCAGAAAGATGGTGGACTAGCTCCTGGTGATCCTCCAGACGATGGAAGGCCTGCACGACGAGCTCGAGTACAGGACCCAGCTCAAGTTCCTGTGCCAGAGGATGAGGAGCTGGACTACTCCCCGTCATTGGATGTGGAGGAAGATGCCCTCTTACCTGATGTACTACAAGCACCACCCACTGAACCTTCAGGTGACTTCCAAAGAGTGCGAACTGAGTCTGAGCCCGAACCTCTTCCAACTCCTCAACGAGCCTTGACTCCGGAGACAGTAATGTCAGTACAGTGCAATGAAGAGCTGGACGGGAACTTCAAAAGCCATCTTACAGAAATGTGAGAGAGCTTGCAGACCGAAAACCCGCGAGCAGCCCGTACTTTGTGGAGTCAAAGTTTGAACAAGGACAGAGGGGATGGTTCTACTTTGAGGAGGGCAAGTGGAAGTTCGAGAAGGATGAATGGGAGTTTGTGATTTCGAACGTGATTGTTCGTCGACATCACCTACCTCGAGATCGCCTGTGCAATCCAAACAAAATCAAGGGAGCGCTCATGCCAAGAAGATTGAAGCACCGACAGTCCTACATGGTGAAGGACGATGGCTCTGTTGTTCAGATGACAGATCTGTGGTTCAAAGAACGGAAGACGAATGGGAAGACTAAGGAACCATGGGTTGGTTTTACGGTGTTTTCCAACAAGGAGGTGAACCTTGAGAACTATCTGGCGGCAAAGGCACGTGGACAAGGAGAAGTATTCCAGCACGAGATCACCCCAGAAGAATGGCCAGCATGGCAGAAAACGGACCGAGGTGAATGGGACAAGGTGGTGAAGACGGGAGCCATTCGTGTACTGGACCTCGAAAGATCCCTGGAGATTCGCAACGGTCCTGAGAAGGACAGGATCATCCCATCTCGGATGGTGAGGCGGTGGAAACCGGGGGAGCAAACAGGGCGAACCGGAGACAATGAAGAGCCGGTGGTGTTTGCGTGGTGATCGTGATCCGGATTTGTTGGATCTAGATCGGCATGCGCCGACGCTGAATACCACCTCATTCGGAGTTTTGCTCCAGATCGCAGCGAGCATGAGATACAAAGCGACTATTGGCGATCTCAAAAATGCCTTTTGCCAGAGTTTGCCATTGGTGCGTAAAAATGGAGCTCTTTACGCCAGTTTGCCTAAAGGAGGAATCCAGGGACTTCATGAACCACAACTGGTGGAAATAGTGGCGGGAGTTTACGGTTTGGGCGACTCTCCCAAACACTGGCGACGCACTCTACGTGAGGCCATACTTGGACTGGGATACCGAGAATCAGTCATGGATCCTACGGTGTACTTTCATCAATCCCGAGGGATTTTGGACGGCGCGATAGCAGTGGAAGTGGACGACTTGTTCACGTTTGGCAACGACGTCCATGGTGGAAAGATGAAGCTGCTTCAACAAAAGTTCAAGTTTGGCAAGTATGAGGATGTGATGTTGGCCAAGGATGGAGTCGGCTTCAATGGGAGAAGAATTCGCAAGGGACGTCGCTCAGAACCCAAAGCGCTAGCCAACGACAGTGAGATCAACCAGATGCGAGCAGTGATTGGTGCGCTCAACTGGCTAGCAAAAGAGGGACGACCAGATGCAGCGGCAGCAGCATCTCTTGGAGCAAGCACTTTTCCGCGACCAGGCCCCTCACAGGACAAGCGAACGGGGTTGGAAATTCAGGTGGTCAGACAACACATGAACGCCATTGCGGGCGAAGTTCGGTGGATCCCTCATCCACAGATGATTGTGGACGGCCTGACCAAGAAAGGTTCAAACATGAAAGCCTTGTACGAGCTCTTAGACAGCGGTGAGTTTCAGATCGTCGATATGGCTGCTCGAGGCTCTAGAAGAGAAGCGGAAAGAGCGTGAACAGCTCGGATACAATAAGCGATGACACAACTTCGAACAGAGTTCGGGGAGCTGTAAATTCATGTGCAGATTGCTCTTCTCTGTTGTGTCATGTGAGTGCTGTGCGAAGCCAGCTAACGACCGCTGGCATGTGGCCCAATCAAAGGGGCCCCTTGAGTTCACTTTGCTATGCAGAAGATGACGGCGTGGAAAAGCGCAGTGCTGAGCAGCTTATAGGCGTGTGCTTAGCAGACGAGAACCACCTGTAATCACACTGTTCTTTAACCGTCATTTCGAAATCAGCATACAAAGGTCAAGATCGATGCGAATGACTGGAGGCTGGCCATGCACCATGTCGAGATCCGGCAGGCCATGCTCACCGGGGTGACAGTGCAAAGCAGGGACGCGACGCGCGCTGGCATTGCTCAGCTTCGCAATCTTTCAATGAGAGACATGCCAGTCGGCGTGCTTGCGGATCATGTGGTCGCCGACATCACCGCAATGACTGCGGTCCAGTGCAGCATCGGAATTTCAGCCCGGGCCTCCTCTCTCAACATGAGGGAGGTGGATGTCCTCGGCAAGCACAGGCAAAGCAGCGGGATAATGTTGAAGTCATCGGTTTTAGAAGCGAACGACATTCGCATGACGAATCTGGCAGCTGGTCTTTTGCTGAGTTCTACGACTGTGAACATGCAAGGCGTCTTCATCACAGATAATGCTGCTTGCTTGCTCAAAGAAAGCTCTTCACTCTACAGCTGCGGTGTCGAGATTGTGCATGTTGTAGCTAGACTTCGACACACCGCTCGCAACTGAGGCGTTGGGCACCCTTTCCGTAAACTCCACGGGCACCATCAAAGGCCTGATCTACTTCAATGATGCAGCAGACGAGGTGTGCTCATCTCATAACGTCTGTCCCCAAGTGGAGCACCGGAGTGCGGCTATGGAAGTGCACCACGCGAAAGCCATGATGTTCTCCTTGCTTGGCTGCCTCGTCGCTACCATCTCCGCAGTTCAGGGTCTCAAGCTTCTCTACACTGAGAAGGCCTCAATGGTTGAGTTCACAGCCTTATGCTTTCGTGATGTGCAACCAGAACAAACCTGGTTTAGGGTTTAGGCGGCTTAGGCTTAGCCACTTAGCCTCCATTCCCCATTCTAACTGAAACACGATGAGGCACTGTCCTTGCGCATGCTGTTTTGGATGCTCGGATGTAGCCTTTGGCTCCTGGTTTTGATTGGCGCGGTGAGCGTGCTGGTGGTCATCCGGCGGGCGGTCCAAGAACAGGAGTTTTTGCCTTACGCTTCTAAACCCTTACAGCCCCTAAGGACCTAAGCTCGAAAGCACTGCACCCTGAAGACCAGAAGTCAGCCCTCTGGAGGCCTTGAATCCGAAAACATGTGACACGAATGTCAATACCCCTCCAAAGTTTCAGAACCCCTCATGTCGACCCGCTATAGTCAGATGTTTGTTGTACTGACACCTCCGAAAAGAGAACAGGGTTGAGGGTTTTAGGGTTTGAGTGCATAGGCTTGCAGGCATAATTTCAAGAAACCCTGAAGCGGACCTGACCAGGACGATCAAAATCGCCCCAATCTGGCGGAGTTCACAGGCCCGGAGAGGAAGATGACCCTTGATTGAGAGCTTCCTTTATTTAAGCGCTCTTTATAAGGGCTCTAGAACTGCTTGGTTTCCAGGCTCAAGCGTTTTTGTTGGGGCGGATTTTGGCATAGGCCTCCAGAGGTTATATCTAACTTTAACGGTTTCCGGTTCGGGCCTTGGAGACGAACGCGCCCATGTACTTGACTTCGCTTTTCTGAAACTGGGGGATTATTGCCAAGTTCTTTTTTAAGAAGGATCCGAGTTAGCTGGGAGACTGCATGCAACCACCAGGACCAAGACGACCCTTGGTATAGCGCCAGTTTAAAGTTTAATGTGCCATACGACATAAGGGGCAACTTGGAACAATCTGCTTCTACCGTTTTGGATCTTGGCTTCTATGCATTTGTGTTTGCAGTACAAGCCGGGAAGTTGTAGCATCCTAGCCCCCCAACCCTGAACCTTGTGATGGAGTAAGTCAGCCAGCACAAATTATCCAGCGAAGCCATAAACCCTGCATCTTAAACTTAAACCCTATCTGACTACATACGAAGTCTCCGGTTTTTCTCTTCGGTGTATGCCAGGGCGACATCCGATCTGGGTACACGGCCTTCAAATAAAGCCCAAAGAACCTAACAAAGTCCCCGAGAAGAAGGCTTTCACATCCTTGTGCAGCCCACATGTCCCTATGCCCCCAAACCCTGAACCCTGACCCCAACCCATGAATCAGCCAGCGAAGCCTCAAGCCCTACATGTCCCAAACTATTCCCTAAACCCAACGCCCTACGGATCCGCAGCCCTCCATTATACCGTACCTGGACCCCAAAAGATTGACCCTTCTAAGGACCGACATAGAAGTGAATCACAACCTGGAGCCCGATGGAGCTGGCTTTTCAGGGTTTAGGAAAACTAACGTTATGATCCCAGGATGGTTCGACTTGTTGCCCTTCTCCTTTGGTCAGCCGGCGGCATGCTCTACGTGTTCTTCGATGTGTACCTCCATCGATCCTTGGATAGCGTGAAGCCTAAACGCCCATGCAGGCCCTAACGGTTTAGAGTTTCGGGTTTTCCGTTTAAATCGAGTCAGCCTGTAGCCTGCAAGAAGCCGCGATCTGGGCTGTGATGCAGGCGTGGCATGAGAAGCAGAAGTAGGGTTCAGGCGAACCTTAAATCCAAAAAATTTCACAAACCCCTCCGAGGGCACAGCTTGATGCTCTCCGGGGACGCCAAGCTTAGGAAAGAGCTTGATGAGAAGAAGGTTCCCGCTGGTCAAAGGATTTTGGGGTTAAGGGTTTTAGTTATAGGACCTACGGTCTCAGAGCTTGGGGTCTAGGGCTAGGGTATATAAAAGTTCGGCGTTGTGGGCTTAGGGATTAGGAGTTTTAGGATTTGGGTTGCTTGTGGATCCAGCGGTTTGGGAGTTTTGGCGTTCGGGCTTTCGGGTTTGGAGGTCTGGGTATGTGGTGGCCTTCAGAGTTCAGAGTCTTCGCTGGGGGGGGTGGACATTTGGACGTTGGGCTGTATTTAAGGTTTTCAGCGGTTAGGGCATCGAATTTTCTTTGTTGTTTTAGGGCTTCGTGAGTTGTGGTTTGGGGCATCAGGAGCTGCAAGGTTTATGCGTGAGGTCTTGAGCTGACTTTCTGAGGGGGACGTTGCCCCAGGACACTCAACGCCTGAGCCAAAAAGATCCTCATCCCGAAAACCCTGGCGGCCCTAGCAGCGATGTCCGAAACCAACCTACACCCTGAGCTCTGAAGCCTAGCCTGGCCCTGGATCTGCAAAAACACCAAGTCCGCAAACTTATGCCTCAGGCACAGTTGAAGGAGCGCCTGGACAACAAGAGCCTCCGGCGACGAATGCAAAGCATGCATCAGAAGCTCTTTGCGGCGTTGGATGACCGCAACAAGGCCATAGGGCCCTATAGGGCCCCCGAAGCCCTAACCCCTAAACCCCCAAACCCTCTAGGGTAGAGACATGGTTGCCATACAGTCCGGGCCCATGCTGAAGAGGGGCCTGCCTGACCATATACCCTAAAAGCCCAAGCATCCTACAGTCCCAAGCCCTGGACCATGGCTCCATGTACCTTTATAGTAGATACTTCAGCCTTGAAGGGGTCCCCATATAGGTACTTTAAGGCCGAAGTATATACTACATGGGCACATGGAGCCTTAGGGCATTGAACCTGCACAGTTTCGGTCTAGGTTCACGAACGTCGGTGATCCAGGCGTGCGGCTCCGGGTCAAGGTGTCCGCAACCTCCAAATGGTAAGCCCTGGAACCCTGAACCCGAGGACCCAAAAGCCTCTGCACAATTACAGCAAACTGCGCTGCCAGTCAGCAAGTCTATGTTCATGGGAGGTTCAGAAAATCAGGTACACCCACCAATGTTGGCCACATGTACAAACCGCAGATAGTTTCCTGCGGAGTGTTCGGATCCCAAATAGAGAAGGGTCCTTAATTTGTTTTGTAAACCCCACACTCTGCAGTCAAACGACCCCTGTCAGAGGATGATTCCAAGCGCATCTTCCAGGAGAGCTGGATGTGCGGCTCAGAGCCGAGGTTTTTGTAACTAGGTATTTAGAGTTTTGACCCACTTAGTCTACAGGAGCTTTCGGGCTCAGCAATAATTGAGGGCATCGAGTTTGCGATTTAGGACAGAAGGTTGAGAGTGGTCGGGAGTGAACCTTAGGATTTTTGTTATAGGTTTTACCATTCAAGTTGTGTTTCCGGCAGAACTGGGCATGCTTTGGAAGCCTTAAATAGCTTTTAAACAGCTGGAAAATCAACCAAAAATGGGTGCTGGTGAGGGCGGTGGGGGTGGTAAGGGTGCGGGGGGGTGTAGGCATGCATTGGAGGCCTCTGAGTAGCTTCTAAACAGCAAGAAAATCAACCAAAAGTGGGTGCTCGGGGGGGGGGGGGGGGGGGGGGCATGCACTTGAAGCTTCTATTTAGCTTCTAAACAGCTAGAAAATCAACCAAAAGTGGGTGCTGGTGAGGGCGCGGGGGGGGGGGGGGGGGGGGCGTGGACATGCATTGGAAGCTTCTAAATTGCTTCTCAACAGCTTGGAAAATCAACCAAAAGTGGGTGCTGGTGAGGCCAAACGAAAGCACGGTGGGGCAGCCAAACGACAGCAAACAAGGTCCGGGTGGTATGTGACGACAAATTTTCCGGGAAAACACTGGCGCCGCCCGCCAAAGCAAATCGGAGTGTTTGCAGCCTTTCAGTGCTGGATGCCTTCAAGGATTTACGGTTTAGGATGCTTTGAGGAAAACAAGGCTTGAGATGCATCCTGCACCGGTTGCAACCTTCTGCATACTATTCTCATCGTTCGTCTCTTCTGCATGTCTGTCGACCTAGGACTGTCGACCTACAACCCAATAAGATACTGTGGCTGACACTATGGAACGGGCTTCAGGAGTACTAGAGTAATCAGCAAACGTACCAACACAGATATCATGGTGAGAGGTTTCGGCACAGATTCGGGCCCAAGAGCGTGGATCCGAGCCCTTAATGGGCGAAAGTAGGATGTTCACCCGAGTTTCTCCTTGAAACCCAAAGCCCTCAAAGCTTGAAGCTCGTTACTTTTAGAACCCACTGGAGCCCTCAAGCGCGAGTGGAAAGGAGATGAAGGTCTTGGCAGAGGAAGAGGCAAAGAACCTTGGCGGGTGGTTCGAGGATCAACGCAAAGTGTACCAGGACACCTGGAAGTTTAGAAGGGCGTGTATAGGATTTTACAGACTTCTACGATGTTCAGGTATTATAACACTTCCAACTCCCTCGATTGAAATTCTCAAGTCTAAACCCGCCAACCCAGTTCCTAAACAGTAGATGCTAACCCCATTGCCCTGAAACGGTACTTGCACGCTTACTATGGTCGGAGGGGCCTACCGTGATTCCTAAATTACGTTCGGGAGTGTAGGGTCAGCACATGATCCAGGTTGGAAGCGGCCTTTGTGTTTGGTTTCGTGTGTGTCTCCGCAGGACGAGGATGCTGGGGCACGGATGCAGAAGCTCGAGCAGAAACTCGGCGTGTCTTCGGATGTGATTTCGCTATTATCAGCAGCCGAGGCCGTTAGATTGCAGGTGTGTGGCTTTGATGTGGTGCTAGCAATCCTAGCACATCCCAGGATTGCATCTCAAGATGGCGAAGCGGTCCAGCCTCCGTTAAAAGACCATTATTTCGAGAAGGAAGAGGCTGAAACGAAGGAGCTGCGTGGTGAACTCTCGATCCGTCCCAAGACAGCCCATGCAGCTTTAACCTGGTCGCAAGCAAAGAGTCGATGTTATGACGATCGATCACCTTGTTCATCCTACGGCCTTTTGGTTGTTGGAAATGTGGCGTTCGTCCAATCATACGTCAGATCCAAACCCTGAAAAGCACTAGACCCTCGAACCTAAACCCGCCAATCATGAAGCCATGATCTTGAGATTCTTGGAGGAGGCCGTTGAGGTCAAAAAGTCCGCAGTGGATGCTTTATGGACTTATGCGAGCTGGCTGCGGCGGGATTTCAAAGGGCTACTTGGTCCTAGTAATGGCTTGGCTTGGGGCCCAAAAGCTTCAGAGATGGGGCAGGGGGCTGTGTTTACGTGGTTCAGAGATGATTATGATTAGCGCTGAGGTTCAGCGGGTTTGGGGCTGTAGAGTTCATGGTTACTTTTGGAGAGGACTGGGATGACGATGAAGAAGCAGATTATGATGATGGTCAGGTTGCGATGTAGATCCTGCTGCCGGTGTGGCAGTGACGAGGATGACGATGCTCATCCTGGTGTAGGCAGTCGTGATGATGGCGATGATGCGGAAGAAGATGATAATGATGTTGATGGTGATGGTGATCAGGTTTAAACTTATGATGCTGCGGTTCTGGAGACGGCGATTGTGCCGATGATGGTGGAGAACATGGCACTGTCGATGCTGACGATGTCATTGTAGATAACAGACTCGCAGAAGATAACTATGCAATTGTGGTTAAGTCGCTGCAACATTATATACGTGTGATCGGAGCGGTTGTTTTCATGGTTACGATATTCGTCATCGGCATAGTGAACTTCCCTCTCACGTGTTCTGCTCTTGGCCTTTCTGGCCTCCGTAGGATGCGGGCGCAAAGGCACATCAATACTGGTACCCGCAGGACTCAGCAAGTCCAAACCTCAAAACCCACAGCTTGTTTGCTTCATCCCTTCAAAAGCCCGGATACAGTTGAAACCGTAGAAGCGCGCCCCTAAACTATGCGAGGCAGCTCGGCCAACTGCTTGCAGACCTGAACGAGTTCAGCGCCAAGGATGTTCGAGAGTTCGACGAGAAGCTACAGCTGGACGAGGGTTCAAACTGACATGGGAGTAGGGGATAGAATTTCATGGTTTAGGATTCAATGTTGGGAGGAAAGGGTGCGGGAATCCGGGATTAGCTTCCGGTTGCAAGGGCTTCCGGGTAATGACATGAGGCTTAGAGGCATTCGATGTCTTGCCATGGCAGATTGCGGGGAGGATCCGTCGATGCACCGGTTGCAGCACGAAGATGGTGCAGAAGTTGGCCCTCACTTGGGGCTGCTGGTGGCGTCTATCAAGAGCAAGGCAGCCACGGGTTTTGTCAGTGCTAGATCCTGCTAGGTCTCCGAAAAGCCAGGAAAAGCCGATACATATGCTGGTTGAGCCAAACCGATCAGGAGCGGGCTCTGGCAAAGATCAACACCGACTACCAGGAGGATGTGCGAGATAGTGTTGTGAATGGGCTTGAAGAGGGAGTCGAGTCTGTGAGACAAAATCTGAAGGATTTCAAGGCCGGGAAGAAGAAAGAAGAGCCGCTGGCACGACCCTTTGCAGTCCATATGATTAGCTGAAAATCCGTTGGCAGCTACGATTGCGACTCCTACTCATGCTGCTGACCCTGGTCCTGCTCCTGCTACTGCCACTCCACCGCCGCTGCTACTGCCACTGCGACTGCCACTGCTACCGCTGCCACTGCGACGACAAGGACAACAATTGCTTTTACCAGCTTCTGTGATTGCTACGTATCATAGTATCACGAGCAGTACGAGTGAAGCGTCCGATGCCATTGTCGGCATGAGACCCATTCACCCAGAACCGAAGTCCATCTAGGCTTTCCACGACCTATCGCAAGAACGGAAACGCTCGCACGCGCTCTTCTTGTTTGTAGGCGGTCGTTTCTGGATTGCCGGATTCGGGTCGTTTTTTGCCATAGATAAAGCAGCACTCGATTTGCACAGCATCACTCTCGCCCAAGGATATGTTTGCGACTTCCTGCGTGCGACCATCTATGCCGCAGACCCATTTGCGCTTGCGCTCGCATTCCACGAATTTAAGGACAGCTTGAAATGTTTCGCTAGGGCTGTGATGGTGAAAGGGTGTATCCCGGACCTGCCCTGAAGAAGCGCTTCAAGATCGTGCGAGTGAAAAACAAGTTTGCGAACGAGAAGCTGAAGACGGAGGCGGGCTGTGGGACGCAACTTGCACTGCAGCAAACGTCAGTACTCGCGGCCCATTGGGAGGAGCGAACCAACATTCTCGTGAACTTTTGGGTGGAGAGCGGAGACATGAAGCAGATCGGCGAAGTGCAGTTCCTCATGCAGGAGTACCTCACGGCCATCGGGCTGCACTGGGGGAGCTGAATCCTGCGCCGTCACAAAGGCCCTGAACCACCAAAGCCTCAGCTACTTCCGCGCAAAGAATCGTTAGCCGTTCCCAGAGATGCCTAAAGCCCGGCCTCGAGCTCAGCAGCCTAAACCCCAACTACCTGACCGAAGCCCCAAGAAGCTCCGAACCCCGAAAAAAATCTAGACCGAAAAATGGAAGGCGCGTAATGGACCATGGACCAAGCAAGCATGCTCACACACCCACAGCCACAAACACGGTTTTACTCACACACAAAGAAGACACGAAACATACAGATGGAGCGGGAAACACAGCTGCAAAACAACGCCCACGTAAGGCAGCAAATATGTCAGACATATAGCTAGATTACACTCGACAGGCTCTGGTAGGACAAGGATAAGACCAAGTTGTGCCCGGACCCGGGTTGCGGTCTATGGTTCTCAATGTCGCTTCAAGCTTAGCATAATAACGTTCACCCCTCCGGGAGTGATTTGTAAAATGTTCCACCACCCGGCAACCCCCCCCCCCCCTGAATTTGAAACACCCCCCATCCCATGTCAACGGATCCCCCAGGAACCGTTCCTAACTTTCGAAGACTGCGCAGTCCAGCACCGTTTGCATTTAGAAACCTAATGTCCGATCGCAGGTTATTGGCTTAAAATGGCGGGGAGGTGGAGTCTTTCAGTGACACGCTTTCATTCAAACGAACCAACTAGGGCATCCCCATGGCAGCCTCGAAGTAGAGAGAGTACTAGGGAGCAGGTCTTCAAAACTCTTAAAATGCAACTGGTTTTCGTAGCAGTCATTGTAAGTGTTGTGTACGCGGGCCTGACGTCTCCACCGGTTGTTGATTGTCCAGACCATCAGACCATCTGGAATTTGCCGAAATGTTCGTTTCATTTAGGCAGAAGTTGCAAGCGACCTGAGGCGAAGTCCATACAGCACCTGTACTACGATGTGGCTCGAGCGAAGAGCGAGGATGAGCTCTTCGACAAACCGATCTTTGCCTGAGGAGGCCACTTGTGCTTTCTAGTGGAGTTTAGGGTTTAGGGTTTATTTAGGGTTCAGGGTTCAGGGTTCGGATTGTGCCAGCTGTGATGCACCGGGAAACTACGGAACGTGGCATGGTCTCATCGTGCTCAGGTTCCAGTTTCTGAGGCTTTCGCAGCCAAGGCGATATACAAATCCCTGACTTGAACTGACCGGTCGGCACACTACTGTTGATGATATAAATCCTGCATTACCTTGAGGATCCGAAACTACGGGAATTATGGAATATTCCTTATATTGGGTCATGCAGGATTTGTATCATCAACCGTATTGCGGTGCCCGAGTTTCTCTGAGTCGTTTCGCGAAGCCCAGCTGTGGCACGCGGCGGCACGGAACAGCGCGGCAGATGCAAAAAAACAATCAATGAAGGCTGCAGCACGGTTTGTGTTTCGCTCCTGTTTAAACTCAGGTCGCCTAGTCTCACCTTTTCCAGCTATGCGGGTTCTAGGTTCAGTTTTCCGGACGGGACCTATATAGTTGAGTTCCCCATAGCCCCTACGTGCCTACATAGATCATACCCAAAGCTCGATCATTCGGAACACTAAAGTCGAGTCGAAATCCGCAGTGCTTACGCTCTCGCGCGTTGTTGTTCTGGGGGCTTTAACGCTGGCTGCTTGTCAAAGTTTTATGAAAGCCTTGTGCCAGGTATTGCTGCCCGTGCAACCCACTAAACTTCACCAGGCCATACACCAATAGTGATAGAAACTAGCAACAAAGCCGAAACGCACTAATTACTCCTGACATTCCCAAGGGATGCATACAGCGAAGCTAGAGAGTGAGTGACCTTGAGCTCGACCTTTGCAATTCTGCGCATGAAGATTGACAGATCGTCTTGTCGGCTGTTTGGCTCTGCCGGTAGCCGGCCTGGTTAAGGGCTCGTGACGTTGTGTCTGAAACTATCCTTTCCTTGTGCCGCTTATCTTCAGACAGGTGTGTCGTACGTGGGGCTGGGGAACCGCCAGCTGCACCCGCATGCATGTATGCTGCATGTATGTATGCACGCCTGCAGAAACAGAGGGGCGTGTTGAGATACTGCCAGGCGGCACGTCCTTTTGCCCCACCAAGGATCCATTCAACTGCTCCACCTCGGTGGATGGCAGCCCGTCGAGCACGCTGACTAGAGGCCCAGTGTTGGCCTGAAATATGTTTCCGAGTCGGGGCCATGAGATCTGCATGTTTCTGTCAGGCTTATTTTGGCCTGGAGGCCATGAGATTCTGGCTCTTTCTGACTTCCCTCCTGGCGCGGGCACACCGAGAGTCTCAGCACTTCGCCGTGCAACTCGACGAGGAAATCGAGGAGTCTCCTCCCACGACTCTCGCCGAAAGATTTCAGCGAAAATCTGACCGAGTTAAAGCCCAACTTGGGAGCGGTTGCCCTTGGTTTGGCCATTCAAGCCCGTTCTGGGGTTGTTTACACCAAGTTTGGCCTGCTGGTTTCCCCTTCACTGCCTTGTCCCCTGAGCTTTGTCCCCTGTTGACGTTCAGGATTGTTTCGCCGCAGAACTGGTCCAGAGTGCTCCAGTCCGTCGGTGTGGAGCCAGTTCGAGTGCATCTCCTAGCAGGGGTGGCTTGGCTCGGTATGAGGTGTGTCTTTCGCGTGCCTGGGGCCCCCAACCCTATAAGATGGTAAGTTGAAACCGCAATAGTAGGTACGCTGAGCCAGGTTTTGGACGGTTCCAGCATGTTCCAGCTGGCAGACATCACTTACTTCTGAGGTCTACTCAAGCATGTCCTTCACCTTACCAGCCGGTGCCAAGCTGGAGTTGCAGGGTGAGCGGGGCGTGAAGGTCGAGGAGATAGTTGTGCGTGGCAGCGATTCCACGGACAAGCCCGAAAGGTCAAGGCACGGCATTATGAAAAGCTTGGTGAAAGCTTCGTCGAAATCAGCCAGTGTCTGGACCCTACACCCTCAAACTTAAGCATCATCCGATTCAGATGTGGTCCTCCTGACGCAGTGCCGTAACAGGTGCACAGGCATGTGTCAAATTTACACACCGCAGAGTTCTAGCATTGCACTTCACGAGCTGAGCTGCAAACATGCAAGGCATTTCGCGGCCGAACGGGCTGAGCTGGCACTGAAGAGCCTCCAGCTGGCAAGAGTATCGTTCGACCTGCCATTGTCTGCTCTGGCTCTGATCGATGTGGCACTGGGAGTATTACAACACCGTGGCGGCGAACAAGAGGACGACTCCATGCCCAACTCAAGCCGTGTCGAAGCATACATGGAATCGATTGACTGCATCACTTGTCTCACAATCCAACGCTCGGTTTTGCTTCCGACGCATTTCGCCGTCTTTGCTATCAATGCGACAGTGATTGACTCGACCCTCATGCTCGCGACCGGCAACCGGCGAGATAGGAACTGGAACTATTTTCGTAGCTATAGCTTCTGGATTCGGCGATCGCACATTGGCGGCCCTGCGGGGGCCCCCGACATTTCAGATGCTAGGGTGGATGGGTGCGAGCTTGGCTGCCCACGTGGTATCACCCTCGTAAATTCGACTCTAGACAACGTCACCGTGCGATTTCAGGGCAACTTTAGCATCAAGAACTCGCGCATGATCGGAAAGTACTGGGTTTCATTTTATGGCACGCACTACCACGGCCGAATCGAGAGTTCGCATTTCGGTTTGTGCAACGGACACTGCTTGACCCTTGATTTGGACGAATCTGACCTCCTGCTGGTCGGTTCTTCCATGCAGACTGCGATACAAGCCAGTGGGAGTACCGACTTGAACCTTGAGATTCGTGACCTGGAAGTCTCCGATGTCCACTGCCCCTTCTTGGAATACTTTCAATCTGAAAATCCAGTTTTCTCTTGGAGAAGTCCGAAAACGGGAACGGTTTCCAGCTTGCGCCCAAGACTCCGTGCGCATCACATATCACCACGTGTTGTGCCTTGTTGGACGAACATTTCCTTCAAGTGATATCGCAGGTCGTCCGATGCTGAATGTGACGCTCGCCTTCGTCAAATTTTGGAACGTCTGGAGTGCAGCCGGCGGCTCAGAGTGGAGCAAACTGTTCTTTGACCATCAATTCGAAGCCACCGTACAAAGGTCAAGATCGATGCGAATGACTGGAGGCTGGCCATGCACCATGTCGAGATCCGGCAGGCCACGCTCACAGGGGTGACCCTGCAAAGCAGGGACGCGACGCGCGCTGGCATTGCTCAGCTTCGCAACGTGTCAATGAGAGACATGCCAGTCGGCGTGCTTGCGGATCATGTGGTCGCCCACATCACTGCAATGACTTCGGTCCAGTGCAGCATCGGAATTTCAGCCCGGGCCTCCTATCTCAACATGAAGGAGGTGGATGTCCTGGGCAAGCACAGGCAAAGCAGCGGGATAATGTTGAAGTCATCGGATTTACAAGCAAGCGATATTCGCATGACGAATCTGGCAGCTGGCCTTTTGCTGAGTTCTACGACTGTGCACATGGAAGACGTCTTCATCACAGACAATGCTGCTTGCTTGCTTGCTTTCTTAAAGAAGGCTCTTCACTCTGAATCAGAGGCTCGAAATGCTTAATTTAGGCCCACCCCCAGATCTACAAGCACCTAGGCGACACGCTTCTAGTAATGCAACCGTTTGTTGTTCCGAGACTTCAAAACACCGGTTGCAATTTAGGCTTTGGGCATCATTCCAGTAAGCACCACGGGCACCATCAATGGATTGATCTACTTCAACGATGCTGCTGACCAGCTCTGTTCGGGTCATACCGCTTGCCCCGAAGTGGAGCACCAGAGTGTGGCTATGCATGTGCACCACACGAAAGCCCTGATGCTCTCCTTGCTTGCCTGTCTCGTCGCTACCATCTCGGCAGTCCAGGGTCTCAAGCTCCTCTACACCGAGAAGGCCTCAGCAGTTGAGTCTGTAAGCTTTGGGCTTGTGGTGGCTAGCAAGCACAATAGACAGAGAGGCTTGAGCTTACTTATTTCTGACCTGAACAACTCTGTGAGGCACTGTCCCTTCGCATGGTCTTGTGGATGCTCGGTTGTAGCCTGTGGCCCGTGGTGATGATCGGAGCCGTGAATGTCCTGTTGGTCATCTGGCGCGCAGTCCAAGAACAGGAAGCGAAGCAGCGGCCAAACGCGTACGTGGAGGAGTTCGTTGGCCCAGACCGGAAGATGACGCTTGGTTCACTCGTAGGGCTTAGGGTTTAGGGTTTTTTAGGGTTTAGGGCAGGTTGGATCTGAGTTCTGCCCTGCCAACGACTGGTGGGGGTAAATCGCCCGGCTGTCGTTGAGAATCAGGTGTTGATGGAAGGCACAAATCTCAGGAGTCTGCCGCTGTTTGGCAAGACCAACACATGTGAAGACCATATGCTTGGAAGCTGAAGAATGGCGAGACGTGTATGCTCACTCATGGCTTGCAGGCCCCTCAAGCATGTTTAAAGTTTAATCGGAGTTTCAGTAGGCATCTATGTCACGGATAACGACTGAATTTTGATTGCCAGCAGAAGCTAAACAAAACAAGCCACCTGGAGGGAGCGTCGGCCGGCATAAATTTCGGCAGAACTCCAGCACAGAGAGAATGCGCGGAAAAACGGTCAGAACTCCCGAATGCTGCCAGCGCCGAGGATGTGGGGGCTTGGGTGGCTGTTGATTTGGTCAGCCGGTGGCATACTCTATGTCTTCTTCGATGTTTTCCTCAATCGATTCTCGGTCGAGTTCGAGCATCTAGACGATCTCGGCAGTTCCCTGCAGTGGCGCATACGCCGAAAGTGCAGATCTATGCATTGCAGCATGTGCCTACAATGCGGCCGTGGCATGGGTACTTGTAGCAGAACTTGCCGCCGTTCCCAGTCCCAGGACACGGCTTGATGCTGACTGGCGATATCCGACGGAAGAAACAACTAGATGAGAAGAAGGACTTTGCTTGTCTTGGATGGGTCATATGCACTGAGCACAGGCTCCGAAGCTTCATGAAGGTAACTCGGGCAATCTCCTTTGCCAGGCGCAACTGAAGAAGCGCTTGGACAACAAGAGCCTGCGGAGCAGAATGCAAGGCCTGCACCGCAAGCTATTCGCGGCTCTGGATCGCCGCAAGGCTCGTCACACGCAGGTTGTGGGAACAGCTCACGTTCAAGCTGCGTGCTTTTCGTCACATGAGTTGTGTCATAAAGGCGGCAAGGACAGTTCATGGCTGCCTTCTTGAAGTATCTCTTCTTGTAGAAAGGTGGATGCAAGAGAGATCTTCCAGGCGGGTTCTGTGCGCGATTACTTCAAGACAGGTCTTGAGTGTCCGAAACTTTCGCCGGCTTGTGCTCGGAAAATCTAAACCGAATCCGGTAAGGTCTAAACCCGAGCACCCTGCGGCAAGAGCTTCCGCATGGGATGTGCTCGTAGCCCTTGTTCAAGAGCACATGTTATGAACACATTGCGCCATTGTCTTCCAGGAGATGAAGGACTTGGCAGAGGAGGAGGCAAGCAACCTCGGTGGGTGGTTTGAGGACCAGCGCCAGGTCTACCAGGACAGGAGGGGGGAACAGAGCGACAGAGATTTTTCACCTTGCGAAGTTTCTGGGAGTGTAGCTTGTTTGCTTCGTTCGGTGTGTGGGGTATAGCTACTGCGCAGGCGGACGACGATGGCACACGGATGGAGAAGCTGGAAAAGCGGCCGGGCCTGGCTTCTTGCGCTTCTCCTGTTGTCAAAGGACCGATGCGTTTGCTAGCTCAATAAAGAGTGTCAGCCCAGGATTCCATCCCAAGATGGCGAGGCTGTCCAGCCACGCTTGGAAGAGCATTATTGCAATGCGGAGGAAGCTGACACGAAGCTGGAGGCCAATCCCTGCTCAAAGCTGCCGGCAAAACATCAGTTTTTTCTCACGGCGCAAGCTCAGCTTCGGCGCCCCCCAAGAAATCGAGCGCGAGCGCTGCGGCCCCCAGATCCTACAGGTTACATGTAATTGTTGAACTGTAGCAGCTCTACCTAGAGACCTTATCATCTTCTGCAGCTCTTGAGCTTGGTTTCGGAGGGTGGAAAGATCAAGAAGTCGCCGGTGGATGCCTTGTACATGTACGCAAGTTGGCTGCGGGCAGACTTTAAAGAGCCCCTTGGATAAGAATGATGATGGTTTTAGGTTCAGGTTGTCTTGGTGAAGAACAGGAAGTGGTCTTCATTATTGCAGTTGTGTTGATGCCGCAGACAAGACGGAAGATAATGAAGCTTACAAGGAAGAACAGGGTGACGACCACGAGGATGATGCTGATGCTGATGATGATGGTAATGGCGACGGTGATGGTTATGATTATAAAGAAGCAGAGGATGATGAGGAGGATGAAAAGTAGGCTGGTGCTGCTGATGATGGTTCTGCCACTGCTGCTGCGGCTGATGATTATCATGTTGAAGATGATGGTGATGCTGATGAAGATCGCGATTTTGGTGTCAGGTATGCTGGTGCTGCTGATAGTGTGGGTGAAGAAGAAGATGATGCTGATTACGTCCTGAGGTATGCTGCCGTATTGGTGAGGAAGATTACGGTGACATCGATGCTGAGGATGCAGATGGCGACTACGATGATGATGATGATGATAGTGTAGGTGGTGGAGGTGGAGGTGTTCGTGGCTGCGGCGCCGGCGGCTTCTTCACGGTACAGTGTTGGTGAAGTCAGCATGATGACATAATGACAGTACTATAGCATTGAACTTCATGGTAGCTCTTACAGGCAGCAGGTACAGTTGTTTTCCTGTCATTCCTTATCTCTTCGCAATGAATTCTCGTTGATGTTTCCCGAAACCCTGCACGCTACCCCCTTCTTGCCAGGCAGCTCAGCCAACTGGTTGCAGACTTGAACAGCATCAGTGCCAAGGAAGTTCGGGAGTTCGACGAGAAGCTCCGGCTGGACAAGGGTCTGAAACCGTCAGTTTTGACAGTTAAGGTGAGTCTAAGCTCCTTCTGGACAAGGGTCTGAAACCGTAAGTTTTAACCGTTAAGCCTGATCGGTGGTTGGAGAGTGGAGCCACGGCAACTTGCGGAGGACCCGTCGCTCTACCGCTTGCAGCACGAAGACGGTGCTGAAGTTGGCCCGCACTTGGGGCTCCTGGTGGCCTCCATCAAAAGCAAGGTCGCAGTGACTTTCCGGGGTTGCGGCCAGATTCTGCTAGACCTCCAAGAGCTGACACGCGCATCCGTACCGACCCAAACACATCAGGAGCGCGCTCTTGCAAAGATCAACACGGACTACCAGGAGGACTTCTCGGGGGGCGGACATGTGCGCGGAAGTAGGATCTGTGAGAAGACAAGACAGCTGAAGGATTTCCAGGCCGGGAAGAAGAAAGAACAGCCGCTGGCACGATGCTTTGCTTCCTTAATTATGCATGGCATGTCGCCTCGAGACTGGAATGGAAGAGTGACGACGACGACAAGTACTAGTACGACGACGACTACTCAGGCTACTACTAACTACTGGTTCGTTCTTAGTTCCACTTCCACTTTACTTCTACTGCTACGACGCCAAAAACTGCTTGTGCTGTTGCCCTTTTTACCTTGGCTGCCAGCAGCTTTATCTAGCTTCTTATCATACACTGTCACTAAGGCCGCAGCAAGCATTGCTGTCTTGGCCTGTCATACTTGTATGTTGAACACCTTAGTCATTCCAATTTGCCGATCGCTCCTTGTATTGATTGCGCACATGACTTCGATACTTATTATCGTAATGGTCAATGGTCATCTTGTGTTTCCTCTTTTACAGATAACTTGACTAGTAAATGTCGCTATCACTTGCGACTACACCTGGGTTTTGCTGCTCCTCCTGCTCCTGCTGCTGCTCCCGCTTCTACTCTTGCGCTTTCGATGATGACGACGACGAAAACGACAACCTCCCATTACCACCAAAACGTCTAGCACTACCACTGCGACGACCGAGTACTACGACTCTTACGGCCAGCCTTTGCGGTTGCTATTCTCAGGAATGTGTAGGTCAGTCCCACCCAGGATGTCCGGAAAGTCTTTAATCGCCTTTGCACACCTCGCTTGTTCGTTGGCGGCTGAATGAGTTCAGCGCTCGCGCCAAAGGGCTTGCAGGAAGGCCGGACCTGGTCGCATGCGCACGTATCAGAGAGTGTTTGGGCCAAACCAGGTCATAAAATCATTAGGATTGAGGGCTCATCACCACTATGCCCTTCATACCAGTCATACTCACCAGTTTTTTGCTATCGCCATGGCCTGAGTCTTGGAACTAAGATCATGCCCTCGCCCAAGGATATGTTTGCGACTTCCTGCGTGCCACCATCTATGCAGCAGACCCATTTGCGCTTGCCCTCGCCTTCCACGAGTTCCAGGACAGCTGGAAGTCTCTTTCGTTATTTCTGAGTGTAAACCTGTGCATCATCTTTGATGTGCCCTGAAGAAGCGCTTCAAGATCGTGCGAGTAAAGAACAAATTCGCGAACGAGCAGCTGAAGACGGAGGCGGGCATTGGGACGCGGGGTGCATTACGGTGCACGTCAGCACGCTGTTTCCCACATCTTGGGAGGAGCGAACCAACATTCTCGTGAACTTCTGGGTGGAGAGCGGAGACATGAAGCAGATCGGCGAAGTGCAGTTCCTCATGCAGGAGTACCTCACGGCCATCGGGCTACCATCAACGGGTGGGGCGGCCTCGGGAGCTGAACCCCTGCGACCTCAAAAAGGCCCTGAAGCGCCAGACCTAAAGCCTAAATGCTTGACCGAAGCCCAGAAGCTCCAAACTTCGAGCCTCTCTAGACTGAAAGACTAAAAAGCACATACCAAGCAAGCATGCTCACACAGCCACAAACACGATTTTATTTACACCGACAAAGAAAGAAACAAAAGTACATACCGAAGGCGAATCGCAGCTGCAAAGCACACGCAAAGGAGCAAATATGTCAGATACACAGGAAATCTTACCTTCGACGCGCTTTGTCGGGTAGGATAAGACCAGATTGCACCCGGACCCGGGTTGTGTGCGGGCCAATGTCCCCTCAAACTTAGAATAACAACATTCGCCCCTCGAGGAGTGATTTGTAATTAAGATGTTCCACCACCCGGTAACACCCCCCCCCCGGTCCTAAAGCACCCCCCATCCCATGTCGGCGGATCTTCTAGGAACCGTTCATGATTCTTGAAGACCGCATAGTCCAGCAACGCTTGAATTTGGGAACCCCATGTTCGATCGAAGGTTATTGGCTTGAGATTGCGGGGCGGTGGAGTCCTTGAGTGACACGCCTAGGGCCCCTAGGGCATCTCGAGGGCAGCCTCGAAGTAGAGTGACTACTGAATAGGGGCCTCAACATTATACTATAATTATACTAATAAGGAATCCCCAAAATAGTATAGGTAATAATTAAGGCCCCAAAAGTAGCTTTGGCTGCTAGGCATAGGGAAACTCCTTTTACTGCAAGTGGTTCTCGCAGAAATCATAGTAGGTGACTCAGGAGCAGTTTTTTCGAACGTCTCAGAATCCAAGCGCTTCTCGTAGTGGGTGTTGGTGTAGGGGCCTGACAACTCCAGCGGAATTTGGCGAAATGTTGGTTGCATTTAGGCAGAGCGGGTCTTGGAAGTTGCAAGTGACCTGAGGCGAAGTCCATACAGCACATGTACTACGATGTGGCTCGGGCAAAGAGCGAGGACGAGCTCTTCGACAAGCCGATCTTTGCCTGAGGAGGCCACGTGTGTTTGTGGGGATTTTAGGGTTTAAGAGCTTACCTAAACCCTAAACCCTAAACCCCCTAACCCCTAAACCCTTATAAACCCTAAACCGTGAGGGATCGGATTGTGCCAGCTGTGGTGCATCGGGAAACCGCGGAAAGCTCCATGGTCTCATGGTTGAGCATGCTCAGGTTCCGGAATCTGAGGCGTTCGCAGCCGCGTCAAGTCGTTTAGCTGCAAAGGAGGACCCGCGCGGTACCGCAGGCGAAAGTCTTCCAAACAACACTACTATATCGTAGTTGGGTAACATTTTACATTTTTATGGGTACTTGAACCCAGAAAGGAATAAAAACGTACATTCTTACTCCTATCCCAACAATGAACCAAACTAACCAGGTTGAAGCTTAATGCAAGTTAAATGCAACGACAAGAAGGAGTCTGCGGCTTCTCAGGGTGTAGGACTTGCAATTTGTTCAAGCCAGGACCCAGAATAATGTCTGGGGTTTCTCAGGGTGTAGGAGTTTATAATAGGACTGAAAGGGGTCGGTGTCGTTGACAGTAGTATGTTCCTGTGGAGGCTATTTGAGACTATATCCGTCTTAAGGTACCCGAGGTTCTCTGAGTTGGTTCGCGATGCTCAGCTGTGCACGCTGCTCCACAGAACAGCAATGGCAAGAAAAGGGAGAATACGCAGAGTGCAGCATGTTACAGCTTATGCCCCGTCTCCACTCTGCTTGGCTAATCTGGCTCTTAAACCCATCCTAAACCCTACACCCTATATCTCACCTCCGGATCCGGGAGTTAGGATTGTTTATCGAAGGCTCAGTCGTGAAGGCTCGTTTCTCCAGGCTCGCGGGTGTTTGACACTGGACGATTTTCAAAGTTTGATTTAGGGCTTGGGGTTTAGGCGGGTTCAGGGTTTGAAGGCCTTCGGCTAGATATTGCTACCGATGTAACTCTTTGGATCCCGATGCCTTCTCCGGCATCTCTGCAACGGGGGCCTTCTTGGATCCCGATGCTTTCGACTTCTCTGGGGAGTCCTTGACTTTCTCGGGCTTCTCCGCGGCGTCTTTGGGCTTCTTTGCCCTGGCCTCCTCTGCTTCGTGGATCCATTCATTGCCCTCCGCGATAATCTTGGCTGCTCTCTGGGCGACGGCTTCCATTTCTTCTACCTTCTTGGTCTTCTCGTGGTCCGCTTGCTCCTTCTTCTTCTCGTGCCGAGAAAGCGCTCCGCTGCTATCTTGATTTTCTCCTGGGTTATACCGCCGCCAAGACGTACAATGGGACACTGCACATGAGCAAGATGCTGGCAGAGAAGCTGCTCCGGTTGGGTGGAATTAGTGGCCAGATTATCCGCTGCGAAGTTGCGAATTGCGATTCCGAATTCAGACAGTGGATCTGGAAGGAGGCCTCTCAACGGTGGAAGGCCGATTCTGCTCTCAGATAGGACCGCTCTGTGTGCGATGCTGAGTAAGTGTATCGAGGAGCCAGTGAGCTCTGAACAGACAAGTTTCATTCAGAAACTTAATACTTGCCAAATACTGGGTTCAAACATGCGTTCCAGTCTGGTCCTGTTGACTGTTGATGCTAAGTACTAAGTAGCTGAAGTTTGGTATTAGTTGCTACTGTCATCTCGCATCTGTGAGTCTATAGGAATGAAAACCCAGCAACAGCACGTCGTCGCCAGGAACATCACCACCTGCCGGGCCGAACAACACTCCAACAGAGTGTTTTTGAAGTAGGGTACCACGAAATTACACTGGATCTCATAGTTGACAAGCTTTCGCATGGCTGACAGTTTGACCTTGAGTACTGATGGCGGGGCGGGTAAGCCGAACACTGTCCTTGTGATCCATGTGTGACAAAGGTGCAGTGCATGCGACCTCCCCCCAAGCAGCTGTATGAATGAGCGCAGCCGTGCAGACATCTTGCCAAGACAGCATGGTGGCGCTCGCTAAAAGTCATCTGCCAAAGCTTGTCGTTCAGCAGAGAAGCTTGGCAAGCTTCCTTGTCCAGGCCTGTACTTTTTTTGCTTCTACGGAGCTGCGCCAGCACAAAAGAATTTGCTACAGCAAATGAACAGAAGATTTCCGAACCGGGAACTGTGTATCCTATACATTTGCCGCCACCTGATAGGGCAACAAGTCTCTGCCATGTGTGACACATCACGGAGAAAAGGCCAAAGAAAGTGATCTGGAATCCATTTCACATCAAGACCTCGAGATACACAGCCCAGCCAATAAGCATCTTGGAAAACATACTTATTGAATCATGGACATTGGCCTCCGTGGCGAAATCTGTATATTCGCAGATGGCCACCATTACCGGAGACCTCAACTCTCGACTGTGGCGGCCTTCTCGATCACAGCGTGGTCTCGAGCCACCTGGAACACGAAGGGCCCCTCGGTCTCTGTGTGCACGGTAGACTCAGCTTCTAGGCTCGGCTCTCCGAATGTGCTCTGAACCTCGGTCGTGGCGGTGACGAAGTGCCTTCTTCCTCGGCGGCGCGAAGCCAAGCCACGGAGGTCGATCACAGCTGTCAGACAACACTGACAACACGCGACTTTGGGGTCAAGCAAGTCGTATGTGCGTTTGTACTGACTACATGTATCACATCGAGCTCTCAAACCTGTAGTTTATGGGGTCGCACACACGTATGTACGTATACATGCATCGAATCATATTTGCAATCATATAAACCTTATGCATGCATTGTTACATCCACACATGCCAATCTATTTATCTATCTATCTATCTGTCCATCTGTCTATTTATCTATCGCTCTGTCATCTCTATATCTACATCTATCTGTCTATCCATCGATCTGTTTAACTGTAAATGTAGGCTCGTAAAGATGCATAATGTACATGCACAGATGTGCAGGGGTGTAAGCATATGATGTCGGCCAAAGACATGAAGTCGAGCATTTTCACAGGAAGAGGGTGGCGTTGGCGGAGTGCGGCGGCGGAGCGTGGCCAAGCAGAAAGTAGGGGAAAGGGTACCCTAGGATCCGAGTTTAGGAGGCTCTGCACGCCTCTCGGCCAAGGCCGAGGCGAATATGCAAAACTTAACCGTATGTAGTAATACAGTATGCATAACCGCAAAATAGAAGCATATCCGGCTGCGTAACTGGAGGGTTCAGGCTTTGAGGAGCCCCCAGGACCGGGAGTTTACTTTCAGAGGTGTGAGCTGCAGAAGCTTACTGTAAGGTTTCTTGGAAAACTGGCTTCCTGTTTGCAGCTCAAGGTTTTTTTGGAAGGTTGCAGAGAATGCGTTAAACCCAACCCCCTTCCTTTCCCCGCGCTCCCTCATGTAAATATGTTCGGTAAAGGGGGCAAAACTGTGCGCAGGCTGCCAACGTGGAGAGACATGTGGCCCCAATCCCGAGGCATCCAAGGAGGGTTGGTTCAGAAATGATTCCGTGAGTCGTCGGGTGACGTGGGGAACTGAAGAGTGCTCCTGAGAAGTGGAGTTGGTAAGGAACAGCAGTCCAAGTGGGCCGTGCATTGTTCGTCGCTTCCAGCCGGCCGAGTCATGATATCCATCGCATGCCCATAGCACATGCCCAGGCTGTCATCGATGGTGGCGGAAGGAGTCCCTGCCTCAAGAGGACGACGACGGCCTGCCTCGCCGCCAGTTCTCAGGTTCTTGCGACTTTGCCGGCTCATTCTCTTTGCGCAGAGTGTGTCCACCGAGCGGCCAGGCAAGAGAGAGGGAGTGACATCGGAGGGAGTACTAGCTCAATGTTTTCGCGCTTGGGAATTTGATTAAACAGTGCAGTGTTGCTGCCAGAACTTGAGAAGTGTGTAGTGTACCCGAAGCACTCCACCAAGGCGTGGACTGCACTGAGCATCATTGAGCCTAAGCCGCCTAAGCCCTGGAGGCTTGACAACTGAGGTTGGCAGCAGGGATAAAAATGGGCCTGAACGCTGCACAGAGCCGATTCGCCAATCTGCTCCTGCAGCTGTCATGTGAGTGCCTTGATATACAGTACATGTGCCCTGCGGAAAGGTGAGAAAGCTCACAAGCCCAGTACAAGGATCCAAGAAGGAAAGGCCCTCAATACAGTCGATACATGGAACACCGATTTGTGATTGTGCTGGCTCAAATTGGTTTGTCTTCAAGACCTGCAGTGCCTGTGCGGGATGTCAAGTCCAGTAAGCTTCGTGCTCCAGACTGAGATCACCCAAACAGCGTAACTTCTCTGCTAATCGGGTTTCGGGTGTTTCGTCTAACTGTGGAGTCTGCTTCGAGCTTGAACTGTTATTGTTTTTCATGTAACACTTGCACGCAGCATCACACAGCATACAACTTCATGTAGCATCGTGGAAGGGACTCTTTCCAGTAGAAGATGTTGGTGTTTCCAACATGATGGATGGGCATTGTGGTCGTATCGATCAAGTCCGTCTGGTCCTCCTGGGCCAGGTGATCTTGCACAGGGTTGCAGGCAGGGCCACAGCTGCCCGTCACTGATGCTTGGCCTCGCGGAATAGGCAGCAAGCTCCAAATCTGACATGTCCGCCAAGCATCAGGGAATAGGCGGCAGGTACCAAGCTTGACCTTCGGAGAGCCGCGACGAACATCTAACAGATCACTCCAGGCGATCTCGAGGCGGGAGAGGCGCCTCAGAGCTCAAATCTGCTCCTTCTTCGGGCCTTTGTCGCCACGACCGCCTCCTTTGGGACCCTTCCGTCCCCCTTTCCCCTCCTTGCATTCGTTCGGCACTTCGGATCCATCCTGCCTGCCCCCAGCTTGGCTCCCAGGAGTGGGGCTGCCGACGTTTCCTCCTCCGATGCTCAAAGTCCTCTTGGCGCTGTGACAAGCCTCCCGCTCCTTGATTCTGCCCATCAAGATCCAGATCGAGCGAGCATCCAGAAGGCGCGTTTGGCACTCTGTGGCCCAGCATTGCTTTCCGACTTGAGGCGGCAGAGTATCCTCGACTTTCCATCAACTGTTCGGATCGCCTCGCCCCTTGAGCATAGTTTCGCTCACACTTGTGGAGAATGCTGCAG